CTTCATCGGCTCCTGAACCAAATCTTCCACCTTGTATTTCGAGAACACCCTTACACACAACTACTGGTCCGGCACAGGTCAAATTTGAGCAGCGCACTTTCCTCTTATGACGCCTGATTTGAAAATCCGGCGCTGATTTTCACCACTCAGGCTTCTTTTCAATTTCTCGAGAACTTCTTCTGTGGCTAGGTTCGCCAAATTTCACAGATACATAGCTAAAGGTACTAGCTTCCAAATGGTATAGTAGCCCGCTCCCTTGCTTTCCTGCCATTTCTTTATATGTCTCCACATTTTTGAATGGGGTGACCTAATAAAAGGTTGTCGTACGTACCATTCATTGATGTCTGCTTTCAGGTCGTCAATCATATCAATGAAACTCTGGGAATGATCGGCCTGGTGTTCCCTGCAACAACAACTCCTTTGAAACGAGAGCTATCAAGGGTAAGTGCCTCTCCTTTTAATCTTTTCAGTATCACTAAATTTTGATATTCAATAACTATCAATTCCGAAGAGTACGTTATGTATTGGTAAGCTGGTCCACATACCGTGCGAAAGTTCTGGGGGCCAAATTTCGAATCGATTCCCATCTGGATAAACCACTCTTGAGTAGGCTATTCGGTAGCATTGTTGTCAGAGTACAATAAAAACTTACTTTCAGCCCCTCCCAACCCCGGCAGGTACCCGCTCGCGCGCAGCTTACAGTATCCCACATCAAAAATATGTGGGCCACGCCCCGTAGTCTCGCGCCCCGTTGTGTGCATTTACGACCAACTCAGTTAATCCCACACGCAATTTTCGGGGCACTGTATGCACCCTGACAAACTGAACTTATAATTAAATCCATTCAAGAAGCCACTGCGAGGTGGAAGTAATAGGTACCGCATCCTTAGAAAGGACTGATCAACGGCCATAGCTTCATCTGTCATCCTTTATCAATCAGGAATTGTATGATTTCCATCTCGTGTTTCCCCAAATTTGTGACGTAGGGGATTGTCGAAATCAAGCGAAACGTTCTGAGTATCATGTGCTGGATATGGTGCAGCACGCTGCTCGTAATGGGAGACGGCCTTTAGGACCCCGCGACGTCGCGCGCGCGGCAATCTGAAAACAGCGCGGGCTCGCAATGGAGCGCATCCTCGCGATACGAGGGCTGCCTTTTATATCGGGATTCGGCAACCCCAGTGTTGCAATCTGGCAGCTGACAGCTCTATCGTAAAGTTTGACCTTTTTGAGGTTATACGTACTCAGAACATTTTGACATTTGAGCGCTCTTTGTGTTGTTTACACTAGCTTAAACTATTTTGGTCGGCCGTTGGTGAGGACAACATGTTTGGTTTTCAACGCGAACAAATTTTTTTGACAGTCAAATGTTCATGCAATATTGAATGTATGCTGGTCCGAGACAACCTTAAGCTTCAAGGGGACCAGCATACATTCAATATTGCATGAACATTTGACTGTCAAAAAATTTGTTCGCGTTGAAAACCCAAACATGTTGTCCTCACCAACGGCCGACCAAAATAGTTTAAGCTAGTGTAAACAACACAAAGAGCGCTCAAATGTCAAAATGTTCTGAGTACGTATAACCTCAAAAAGGTCAAACTTTACGATAGAGCTGTCAGCTGCCAGATTGCAACACTGGGGTTGCCGAATCCCGAAATATAAAAGGCAGCCTACGTAAAACTCGTTCGTTTCAGTTTTCAGCCACGCTCTTCACTCTGGTAGGACCTGGACTGTCATGACCGTTGGATTTTGTTTCAGTTGCAGAAGTAGAGTGGCAGCATTGCAATTATAATGCGAAGAATGTTGCACCGATTCTGCTCGCGAATTAATTTAGCTTACTTGCTGACCCCTGATCATTTGACTCTCATAATGCTTTCTGGACAGCATGCTCTCGGAGACTACTTATTGTCGTACTGCTGAGGTACGACGGAATGTTGAAAAAATAGCAGCCAAATCTATCGATATTACAAAACCATAGCGAGTGCACATCGATGGTAAACCTACGATGTGTGCAGTTGCCGCGCGCGATGCCGCGTGATCCTATCCTCACAGACCCGTCGTCGGGATAGCCTTTTTCATCAGCTCGTCAGGAATCACGGTCAAGCAAGCAAACGGTATGCTTTGAGAACCCATGTCAAGATTCGAAGGCACGAGAAAGTGAAAGCTGAGATGAACTTGATGAAATCGAAGCTGTAGGGTCTGTGGAGGTGGGCAGAATTAGCTTAGCGGCATGAAGTCCCGCTGCCGTGTGGATCACGGTGTGTGGTCTACTGTTCTGGTACAGGATGTATGTGGGAGGAAGAAGAGTCGCATTTGGCCCATAAAACAACTCGATGATCGTTTTATGGACCAAACTGGATTAACTTGGATTTCCCTTTTTGAGATGCTTTAACTCTGAATGGCTGAATCTCATCTCAAAGAGGAAATGAGTGGTGCCGAAAGCCTCGTTCTTTATTCACTCGTGTAAGTGGAGATCCGATTGCCGATGAGCGATTCGCATGCTTAACCTCTTAATGAGCTTGTTCGTTGACGAGTACTCCCAGTGAAGAAAAATAAATGCATAGTTCACTTAGCTGGTATTGTTGTGCTTCTTGAGGTTTTAAGATGGGATAATTCATTCAGTGGCGTCACGTTTCGACATGGTCGTCTTCTTCAGAGATTTTAATGTGTTTCGAATTGAGGAAACAAAGGATACCTCGCCAAGCGCCCACTTAACTCTAGCGGATTGATGACACGTTTGGTACTCAACAAGAAAGTCCTGCATAATAGATGAAGTGCACTCACCACGTTTTGCCGTAATCTCTGCGTTTTGCTCCCAACATCCGCATGTGACAGCGGATTTAGGCGGTGGGATCTTCTCGCTGACTTCATGGGAGCTGCTAGAGTTGATTGGGCACCTGGCGGGATAGAACTCATCGTTTGAACTCGAAACACGTTCAGGCCTCTGCAGTCATGTCTAAACATTGGCCGTTGGATAACTTTTTCTACCTAGAAACCTTAAGGCAGCGTTTAGACTTTGCGACTGCAGCGCTTCAGTCTGCGTTCGACACGATCGATGCAGTCGAAAGCATGCGCATCGATCGCGTCGAACGCGCGACCGAAGCGCTGCAGTCGCGAAGTATGAATGCTGCCTAAGAGGTACAGCAGGATTGACAAAATGAACACCGATGCCGAGGTTACAGCAAGAGAAGCTGAAGTATATGCATACTGTTGGATTTTAGAGGATTCATGGCGCTACACAACCTGCTCGACATTTTGAAGCGCCAATGCAGAACTTCATATCACAAGCAACAGATATTTGTTATGAAGTGGAGCAGGTCGGTTGTGAATCTTTCTTGTTTTTTTTTTAACTTTCAAGTATCCTTATATGTTTTGCCAAGAGTTTCTCATTTTCAAGGCAGCGTGCCAGTTGTCGCTGTTGGGATTGGCAGATCCTGCAGAAGCCGACAATGTCTACACGAGGTTGATGACTGTTGTTAGCGACATAATCAACAATGCGATGCAGTTGGATGATAAGACTGGCGCTGTTCTTCCAGCCGCTTTTTAGCTAGAGAATTATACTTCTCTGAGAGCTGAAAAGCATCTGCAGGTAGTCTATGCGGACTGATCTAAAGGATAGGAACATGCAACTGATGAAGTTGCTGTCGAAACTGATGCGGCTTGCTTAGACCTGCATCTATTTATTGCTCCGAACCAGCTTATTCGACAGAGCGTTCAGACACTCCTTTAGGTATTCACGGCTAACTTGTTGCTACATTTCTTACATTAGGCTTATTTATACATTATTTCGAAGCATTTTTCGTGGATCTTGGTTTGTAGGTTCCTGCAGGCGCGCTAGTGGAAGGTGAAGATTGCATGTTTTGAGTACTATTTGCTGGGATATAGTGCAATGTTTTGATGTGCAATCATCCACCAGGCTCGTTGGAGCTCAAAGCGCGGTGCAACGTTAAGAATGCGGGTGGTGTGCAACTTCAGAGCTCTTTTAATGACTGCGTTGCGTCGCGAGTTGAGGCACTGTGAGCCTGGTTTTACCTTCAGTTTCCCAGCTTCCACTAACCCTCAAAGACATAGTGCTGGTCTTCCCTGGTCTGACCTCTGGGTCGCTGTGGTGCTTCATTTTGGTGCCGATTTCTTCCCGCATTGACCGCGATTGTACGCTTTTACATACTAGTTTGTTAATCTTGCCCATTAGATGCCATGTGAATTAACCACCGTTCTGTTCCTCACATCTCCCTCCGTTTCTTCGTTGTTGTCGCTTTGTTGAGCTTTCTTCAAGTAGCAGCTTGGCGGTTTGTACGTGCTGCTGCCGCGTCTCATGTAGCTTCATATCCTTTGCCCGACAATCACTTGATCATTTTGCTTTCTAGATTCTCGTTCTTTACTGATTAATCACTTGTAATTCCTTACGTTTGTAACCTGATTGTTTCCGTTTGTCTTAATTAGATATTATTCATTGCAAAGGGTGATCTAAAGGCGTTGACGCTGTGTACCTTTCATATAAGCCGCGCCGTGCAAGTGTTCTCTTAATAATTGAAAAATAGATGCGACGTGGTGTGGTTCGGCCAAGCTGGCCTTATTTCAATTGTGATTTCGTTAGAAGTACCGTGTCTATGTATCTCGGTTAAGACAACAGTTGTTAGCTTTATGAGTCACCCCGTGTATTTTTTGCTCATATCTTCAGTTTCTGTACAGATTATTTTGTTGCTTCAAATTTATTAAGAACAGATTTCTGATAAATCAAATCGTATACTGGAAGTATTACATGGAACAAAATTGTTCAATAGATTAACAAAAATGGATATTATACACAAATCAGATCCGGAACGAAACTCGTTTATTCATTGCCGACGTAGAAGAAGGGTAAATACTGTTCAAGGAAATTGATCAAACGCATGAACAGCGGGTTCTCATATTTAATGGGGTGTTATGGAATGTAAAAAAGGAATGTTTAGTCAGAAATGTTTCCGGGCGAATTTTCACAGTGGAGCAGACTTTTTTCCCATGTATCTGAGTAGGGAAGGGGCGTTTTGGGAACTGTCAGCATACCGGACAAACTTTACAGTCTCACAGTCTTTTGTGAATCTGCGAAATGGTATGAGTCAGGGCGCGATTTTCTCTGAAGAGGTGGGGAGGTGGGGAGGGGGACTGGGCATTTAATTAAATTGCATAGTACCGTAGGTCGGGTCGTGCCCATGGAGTTGCGGTGCAGCGCCAGTGCTGTTACCCTTGCGGCTTGGGGGTCTAAACTTGAGCTCAACGCCTTCAATCGCGTCAACTTTCTGTTTTTCTCTGCGCTCTCACGTCTGCATGGCATTTCATGTCCTTCTGTGGACTTAAACCTTCCAACTTTTCACACATGTTGAGCGGCTCATCCACCCAGAGCTCACTCGCGAAAGACCTCGTCCCTCAGTTCGCAGGACGTTTCATGCACATTTCGGGGTTTTGAAGCCGCTGAACTCGGGGTTCCGCAACAAAACCTGTAGTTGTCACTTATGGTTAGCTAGCTCGAGGCGCTCAATGAGTGGACATGCTCAAAATCAGCGCGCCGCTGACTCTGTCCCGGTTGACTTCTGCGAGTCTTTTTTGGAGCCACTAGTGTGCTCTTTATCCGAGAGACGGGAAAGGCGTGGCTGCGCAACTCATTTGACTGTGATGTAAGAGGCGTTTTTTTGTAGATTCCATAGAAGACGACAATCCTGTCTCGTGCTGGCCAAAGGCATGATTGAAATGAGCGCAACCGCCGCCATGCTCAAATGGAGTGCGGAGCCACACCCTTCGCATCTCCAGATAAAGAGTGTAAATGACATATAGAAATTTTAAAAAGGAAGGGATTGAAGAAGTGATGACGATCCCGAGGTAGGGGAGCCAGTTCTCACAAAATGCGACCCACGCTGAAATCCACTTTCCGGTGAATAAGTTGAAGTGCCCACAGAGCTTCTTGGCCCTCCTGGCTTAGGCGAAAAATCTGATCCTGGCTCACAGTGATTTTTTTTGCACCTTCAAGACCGAAAAATTCAGAGAAGTGGGGTGCACAAGGAGCCTCCAGGTCCAGGCGAAACTGCCAAGTATACTGACAGGAGTTACAAAAGGCCTCATCCTGTAGAGGGATTGAACCGCCAAGCATATTGCTCAGTTTTTGTAAATACGCTAAAAGAGAGGATGCGATTGGGCATTGTAGCGGAATAGCGCGAGATAGTGGGCTCCACCTTGGAAGAACTAACTTTCTCTGATGAAAGTATTGGCTTGGCCCCTAAGTAATGGCGTTTTTTCTCACGCAAATTTTATATGGAAAATGATGATTTTTCTCAATGAGTTCTACACTGTTCGATAGATAATTTTCTGCTCTATAAGATAGCATAATTGCCTTCTTACTATTTCTCGAATTGTGTCGATTTTTATTTCATTGAAAGGGAAATTCGGGTCGACCAAAAGTGAGTTTTCGACAACTACTTTTTGCACTTCTCGGCTCAAAAAACAGAAGAAGCTCAAAACTTGTGATATATATGACCAAGGAAAGATGCTTCTTGTGGCAGCTTGAAGTTGGTTCAAGCGATCATGAGATGGGTTTTCGGACCTTGTAAATGTGCAACGCATGGGCCCTCCTGGGGAGCGACGGCCTGCAGAACCTATCCAGTGATTTTCGAACGTCTAACATCAACTGAGGGTGGTGGTTGACGATGATAAGGAAGCATTTCATGACCCCAACGATTCCCCATCCCAGGTATGAACCTCCATGAATAAGGTTATTCAGTAAGCTCTCTAGTTGAACTCAATAGGTCCGATGCTTCTCTGTGAGGTCTATATTGAAATCTTCGAGGCACGTGAACCGTCGTAATCTTTCCTAAGAGACACAGCTCCTTAGCCATATACTTAGCTTTTGGGTTGAGGTTTTAGCTTTTCAATTAGAAGTAAAATGGGGAGGCTGTCGGAAACGCTCAATTTCCCTGACACTCCAGTTTGAGCATTTAAATATTAGTTTGAAGAAAAAATCCAAAGGAACTAAAAAAAACTGTCATATAGGCCAAGGAATTCTCTACAAAACAGGGTAAAACGCTATGGCAAAACTTTTCATCTTCGCGATATTTCGAGTGAGAAAAAACGCCATTACTTATGGGCCGACCCAGTATATTCAGTACAAGCGGCTAGGCTAAGTGGATTTCATACTGTGAAAGAAATAAGCACCGAAGGTCAAGCCAGCTTTGTATACCGCACATGTTTTTCAGAAGAGCTTGTGACAGCACCAACAAGTAACTTGCACCCGCTCTGCGAAAGTCCAGTACAATATTGAACAACGGTGGTCCCGAAAAAAAAGAATAGAAGAATCGTAACACGAATTCACACCAAAAACACACGGATTTCATGACTGAGGAAGAAGTTCTCTTGATGGCATGCTCCTTTATGAAGGGGATGGGAAAGTTGTGAGAATACACGCAGGATTTGAACTGGCTTCGATAGAACACCACTGACCGGAGAAGGCAACACGTGTTGCAAAAGGAAATTGAACCGATTAAAACCCGTAAGCATTGGCATGCTTAGTTCCGGCGGTGCTCTGAAAGTCTGCGGCAAATGAAGTACTCCAGAGATTCCATTGTAGACAGAGATGATCAGAGATTATTGACAACGATAGAGTAGTCGCTGCCTGGCACAGTAAGAAGGTATGGACCATCATACCTGGAAAGGAGTTTCTTCAATATACTGCTGGGATCTCTGCGATTGAAGCTATGCTAAATGTTGTTTGTAATGGATAAGGCAGAGCACATCACTGGTTGAGATTTTATTCGAGTCCGTACCCCCTCCCCCCTCCTTTTGGAGAGTTGGGGCGACAACCCTCCTAGTTCCCTCCTCATCGAACTGTTCAGGGGGAGTGATGTATGTACACATGAAAACAGTAGAAGCCACTAAAAGCCAGCAACCTCTCTCAGGACATCAGGAAGGTCATAAGGGAAAGACGACCCCTCCCTTACAACGTCTCCGAAACAAGAAAAATCAACTGAAAAGTTTTTCTCGGCCCAAATACGACCCTCCCCCTCTCCCAGCAACCAAATGCGACCCCTGTTGGAGGAATTCCCAATGACGATGTGCTCTGGGATAAAGTGTGTTGTGTACTGCTGCTTCGCTGAACACACTCATATACCTTTAGTCCGCAGCGG